ACTCCACTACCATACTGTCCCCTGAGCTTGGCTTCCCAGCCTCTAGAGGTGAGAGAAACGACTTTCTGTGGCATGTAAGATACTTGGTTCAGCTGCTTCATTAGCAAACCAGAGAAAGAAAAGGAAACTTGGAAAAGCATCTAGCAAGAGGCCAGGCAAGAGCAAGCATGATAAGACCCCAGACCACAAAATACACAGCAAAACCCACTAAGAGGTCTATTAGTTAAGTGTGGGGAAAGGGAGGAAGAGGTGTACACAGATTTGTCTGGAAGAAACAGAGAGAGACAGAGACAGAGACAGAGAGACAGAGACAGAGACAGATAGAGAAGGGAGGGAGAGAGGAAGGGAGGGAGGGGCAGAGGGAGGGAGGGAGGGAGGGGCAGAGGGAAATCTGTCAGCCTCCTCAGAGAGATGGCAGAAAAAGAGAGTGGTAGTGAGTGGAGCTTGTCTCTTAAAAAGGGACCTTTGCACCTGCACGCAGGGGTGGGCACCCTTTGCCAGGTCCCCAAGTGACAGGGCCAGGTGGCCTGGGTTACAATAACTCCACCCTAGTAAAGACATAGGATCTAGGTTTCCAAAAGCTTGCTACCAAGATCCAAAGTAAAAAAATATATATATATGGCATGCAGTGACCCTGTGAGCATGGACAAGTACAATCTATTAAGGTTTTTCAAAAGGCAATATTTACTTATGATGTGTAATCCACACGGATAGTTTATATTCTGTTTTCTCAATGCCGGTCCCTGGCCCATATAAATTGATTTCTGAACCCTAGCTGTCTACAAACAGCAGGATAAACAACTCTTATGAGAAGAAGATGACCCATAAGAGGGAGGGGGTGTGAGTCTCATATGAGCTAACAACACAGCTTCTCTCCCTGAAACGCGACCCCTGTGACCACAGCTCCTTCTTTACCACAGCTGGGAATCATACATCCCGACAACCCACGAGCAGTTATTACCTCCAGAGTTCATACTGCATGGCCGATCTCCTCTGTCTCCCGGGCACGCCTTCCTAACTCTACCCACTGTGTGGTTACGTGAGGAGTCTTTGTCATTACCTGCATGTCACTGTGACCAACAGGTGTCCCAGAAACAAGGTCGAGATGGAAAGGCCTCTTGGGGCTCACGGATCCAGAAGTTCCAGTCCATCACGACAGGGAAAGCACGCTGGCACAGTTAGCTGAGACCACAAAGATGGGGTGTGTGGCAGGGGTTAGTCACACCACCAAGGACTAATCAGCAAGAAATGTGGTAGGATCCAACAGTCGGTGGCCAACCACCAGAAGCCCACCTCCGTCAGCCAGGCCGTCACATTCTAAATGTTCTGCAGTCTCCCAGTGTGATAACATCATCTAACAAAACTTAGGAGAGACACCTCGCGTAAACCATCTCCCACCGTGTTTGCTTGACTCTTGAAATGAAGATCTCGGGTCAACTGAAGCATTGCTGAAGGAAGGCCTCTCAGAAGGTGTGTTCTCACTGGAGTATAAGCCTGGTAGCCAGGCTTGCTAGTTTAATATGAATGAAGTAGTCTTGAGGAAGACACACATTTGGTAAATGTATCAACTGTAGGAAGCTGGTGATATTCTCTTTATATCCCACCAGGGGGCACCATGCACAAGGCATTCAATGCTAATGGCACCATGAGATTTAGCCAGAGCTGGTGGCTCTGAAAAATGGTCATGCATCAGACCAACTAACACACCTCGATATCAAACCAAGTAACATAGCTCAATGTCAGGTGACAGAGAAAAAGAATCATTTGAAATAATGTTTGTAATTTCCGAGTGTCTGGAGAGTTCAAGGTCACGTGGGAAACCAGCACATCAGGTCTTCCTTCTAAATACACGGGATGGCCGTGTTGAGTTTATGCTTTCCTCGTTAAAGTTATCACGCAAAGCAATGGCCTACACTGGGCATTTCACTCACTCGTGTGATCATGGCTTTTCCTGCTCTTCTTTCCCCACTGCCCTCCCTGGTGAACTTGCCTCCCCTCCTCTCCAGTCATTCCCTTCCTCCCCACAAATATTTCCCATCCTTGTTTTCACGACACATCTATCCCATGACCTTCACTTCCCCCAACTCCTTAAGAGCTCTTCTTTCCTTCTCATAATCCTCTGTCTAGTTCCATAACCCGTACTCGGATGCATGAATACATATTTTAAATCTGGGACCCACGCGGGAGACAAGCAGCCTGAAGCGTTTGTCACAGTCGGGCTTATTTCACTTAACACGGTTTCCAGATGCAACATCCTGTCAATGTCGCGATTTCACTTTCCACTGCATAATAAAATTCCAGTAGTGCAGGCCTCACATCCTCTTCGTCCATTCATCCGTTTACAGACATCTATGTGGGGCCTACCTGCTGTGAATGATGAAGGCATAAGCAAGTTGTGTGAATATCTCTACGCTGTGTTGACTTTGAAACTTTCAGGCATGCACCCAAGAGTTACTTATCTAGCTGAGTCACACGGTAGTGCTGTTGTTAATTCTTTTAGAAACCTCCACAAGGGTCTCCACAGTGGCTGTACCAGTTTATGTGTCTACTCTCTGTTCCCTTTTACCAAATTCACCAGCATTTATGGTCCTTTGTTTGCTTAATGGTAGCCATTCTGTCTGGGGCGCGATGATACCACAAAGCAGTATTAGCTTTCATTTTCCTGTAGATTGAGAATGTTGACCATGTTTTATGTACTTATTGGCTATTGGTACCTCTTTGGAGAATGGTTTATTAAACTGATTGGCCCACTTAATGATGGCTTTGTTGTTTGAATTTTGCAGTTCTTATATAGTCTATATATTTTGTAATGACTTTTAGATTTATGTAGTTTTGTGTGTATGGGTGTGTTACCTTCATGTATGTCTATGCACCACGTGTCTTCCTGGTGTTCACGGAGGCCAGGAGGTCAGAAGAGGGAAACTGGAGGTGTGGACAGTTGAAGCTATCTCTCTGTAAATGCCCACAGGGCCACCTCGAGTCTTGTCTCCGGGGTTATTTTCCTGTTGCTGAGTCTGTGCTGGAGAAACAGCTGATGTCCACCACAGCTGTCTTCACTTTGGTAGTTTCCTTCTTTCCCACCAGGTCCTTCTGTTGTCACACTTGGCTTTGCAGTGGGGGGGGGGGGCTAGGCAGACTCCCCAGGTCATACTCCTTGGGGTAACTAACGTTCCTGCTGGGGGAGAGGAGGCCTCTTCCACATGGAGTGTGAGAAGCAGCAGGGTAACTGAGATTCGTACAGGGAGAGGACCCTCCTGTCTATTCCCAAGACTTGCTGAGTGTCGGTCACCCTGCTGGAGGGACGAAGCTACGGATGCCAAGGCCACCACCTTTGGTTCGGCAGAGGCGAAAGGCGGGTTGGCAGTTCCAGAGACCGATCCTCCCAATGAAGTCAGGCTCAGAGAGGTCCAGCTCCAGGGTTCGTCAGTTTGAGGAGGCCCATGCCCAACCATCTACTTCCCTGAGCCGAGCCTCCGCCACCTCCGGCTTACCGGTGGGCTTTCTCTCACACTCAGCCTGTGGCCTGCTAAGATGAGGCCCGATGCCCTCTGGTAGTTCCTTCCTCTCAGCCTCCCCTCCTTACACCCCTGCTAGGTCAGATTTTAACAAGTTATCTCTCAAGATGGCAGCCAGAAAGCCAGTGCCCTCCAAGTCTTATAGAATGACAAAGGGATTTGTCTCCACCTCTGGTCGGTCAGGTTGGCAACTAGACTTGAGGCCTGTGGAACCGTCCTGAGGTGCGACTGCTCACAGATCACCTAGTGGCTTCTGGTTTGTCCTTCCTACCGCACATATGATGCTGTTTCAGCCCATCCCCGCAACATGTCATCCCTCCACATGTAAGCATCCTTCCACTGTCTTCCTCCACTGCTGACTCTTTCCTAGCCCATCATCTCACACAAAGGTCTCCTGGCCACCTTCTCAGCTGCACACTTTGCAGGGACTCCCTGTTCTCATTTGCAAAGCGATGGGGGAGGCAGTTGGACCTGCCCTGTGGGAATGCATGATATAGAATGTCCTGAGTATCTTCTACAGAAACCTGACACACAGCAACGCTCCTCCCCCTTGTCCTCAGGCACAACTGGTCCGCTTTGCCCACTCCTTATGGGGACCGTCCTGTCCTCATCTTACACCGGCATGGCAAATATGAGTGGCTGGACCCTGTGCTTTCTGAAGTGTCACAAACAGCTTAACAATTTCACAGCAGTAGCAGTAATGGGGTTTTGCCACGAACCAGTGGGAACAATGTGGCTTGGACATCTGACAGAGCTGTTTCAAAATCTAGATTGATGAGTTGGGGAATTCCTATGGAGCATTACACACCAGCTGAGAGCGTCGGACTTGTTGGAGTCGCTTCTGAGAGCCAGATCAGATTTCTGCTGACCCGGTGAGGTGAAGAACGAGCATGGCTGCCTGGGAAATTTAGAGGAAGTTCTCTGTGTTAGCTGCCACACGCCGATTTTGTTCTTTAATTATCTGGGGGAACCGTACTGGTCCCTCTGCTTGCTGTTCCCAAGGGGCAGAAGAGGAATAGCGAGAGTAGTGTTGGAAGCTGCTTCTCCAGCACAGCCTCTTCCGGCTGACCTCACAACCCCCTACAGCAACTGCTTAGTCATCTGTCAGCGGCCCATGCCCATCAGCACCCAGTCTACTGCAAACTAGTGAGCTCTTTCCAATTGATGTGGGCCCCTGACCTTGTGGAGTTTGGGAGGATTGTTTTTAATGCATTTTATGGTCAAATCTTCTCGTTTAAAAATATAATAAGCAGTCTAGCTTCCTTGTGTAAAAACCGGGGAGTCGCTAAGACAGAGGTTTTCAGGATCTGCCAACAGCGTGGTTCTTCTCTCAAGCTGTATCAAGTTTTTGATAACCATGTATAAATCAAGCCAAAGTTCATCAGATAAACTCTCTAAATTGCTGTTCATAAGCCCAAGGGCAGCTGTCACTGAAGTCTCTGAACATGATAGTTTGAAAGAAGAGGCAAAAGTCGAGTGAGACTGTTGAGAATTAGCGGATACTTACAAGGCAGAAGTGACATTTCAGAATGCACTATTTGACATCAACATGAAATCCTCAAGTGCAAAGTCAAGTCCAGCAACCCAAAGGGTCCATGGATCTTTAGGAACTCCCTACTGGGTGTCAGTCAATACAGCGTTCAGTCTTCTGTACTCCATTTCTTTGTTTCTTGGGAAATCGTACTGTACGAATAAAAATAGGTTGAATTATACCACAGTAACAAATGAGCCCCACTCTAAAGTGTTCACAACCACACAGGTTTATTAGTTTCCTGGGGTGTTCTAGAAGAGTCCCAAGGCTTTATCAGTTAAGAGTCACAAGGCTGTTATCGGTTATCAGCACAAAGACTCTGAGCAAATTGCTCAATGAACTACAGTAACTGAGTCCTTTGATCTGCCATATGCAAGTTGGAGACACAGGAAACCTAGCCGAGTGTGGATCCAAAGGCCTGTGAACCTGGGGAACCAACGGTGTGTCTGCCCTGAGAGTCACTATGTCCCCGTGGAAGGAGGTGGATTCTCCTCCCTCCACTGCCTGTTCAGTTCAGAACACGGGTGGATTGACAGAACGACACCCACTTAGTCAGAGAAAGCAGTCTGGTTCACTGAGTCACTCTCCCCAACGCTGAGGCCACCTGTTAAGTGACATACACAGAAACAAATGATACTGGCGATATGACGAGAACATGATGTAAATAAATGCAAAGGGCGTGTGAAATTAACCACCATATCCACACGTCACATGCCAAGGCCAAGAAGCTCTGGCTCGCACAGGGGAGAAAGAAGGGACAGAGGGGGACAGCGCAGTACACTTCTCAGAGTGTCTGCACGGGATTTTCCCTGCCTGTGTTTCATTATCCACTTCTAGCCAAATGGCCTTCACGAGGTTTAGCGGAGTAGGAAAGAATGACCCACCGGCAGCAAAGGATGAAGAAAAAAATGAAATACTCGGTGAGTACAAATACTGTTCACCACACCATTAGCCACTCTCACTCTGAGCCATTGCTCCAGAGATTCCGGGTCACCCCAAGTCACAGCTACCACCTGCCCATGCAGCCCAAGTTCTGCTTTTATCTAGGAATATGGTCCCTCCCTTGATCTTGGAAAGTACGGAAAACACTTGGATGGTCCGGTAACACAGTTAACCGAGGGCTTGATTACAACAGAGAGGAGGAGAGAAAGTACAGCACAAACGTCGGCCGTGCCCCTGCTGGTTTTAGGTCCATTACCTCCTCACCTCCTCTCGCCCAGCCATGGCCAGGTTCCACCACTGTAGACTCCACAATCCCTCCAGGAATCCACCACTTTCTCACCCAGAGACAACGCCATCATAGCCACACAGATGTGCGGGTCTTCACACAGTGTGCTCAGCCCTTTATTCATAACTGCTTAGCATGTGTGGATCATTGTCTTGATTCTAGGAGGGGACCTTGGCAATGTGTAAACGAAGGACTCATGCTGGAAGGATAATTTTACTGAGAGATAATGAGTGTCTCCTATCTCAAAAAGAACAAATTACAAGAAGGTTCAAAACAATGATGTGTTCTCTCTCTCTCTCTCTCTCTATATATATATAGATAGATAGATAGATAGATAGGTAGATGGATATAGATATGTGTTCTCGCTCTACATATATATATACAGAGTTTGTCTATATATGTATATATATATAATGAATATGTTTGGGGAGGAATCTATATAATTTGGATGCCCAGGTAAGTGCTGATTTACATTATGCCATAGGGAGATTTAAATGTTTTATGCGATTTCTTAATTAACATAGTTAAAAACAACATCGTAGTATGCTGACATAATTTGCTACAGCGTTCTCTTCAATTGGCTGCTTCCCTTTAGTGTAATGAACGAGGTTATCATAAACTACTTCATGCATATGGATCTTGCTTCTATTACATTATTTTATGGAAGCAAATTCCTAAGGATAAAATTCCTGGGTCAAAACTATGATTATTTTTACCTTGCACTAACTTAGTTTATATCTCTAGTCCAATTTATAACAATCACTTATAAATACATAACTATGTATTATATAACATTTTAATTTATATTAACCCAGTTTAATTTGATAACTATGTGATATTTTCTTCTAACAAGAAAAAAAACTATTTCTTCAAGTAAACTTAAAAGCATTGCATTAGGATGAGGAAACTTCCTTTTAATATCAAAGTGCTATTATCTGGAAACACAGTATGTGCGGGTCATAATCCTTTGCCTGCATTTATGCCAATTTATAAAAGAAATAGTCCCTTTCATCATTAGCTTCCACTGTCAACTTGATAGAAACCTAGAGTTATCTAGAGGACAGAATCTCAACTAAAGAATTTCCTCAATGAGACTGCCCTGTAGAGGTGTCTGTAAAGTATTTTCTTAATTTCTAATTGATAAAGGAGAACCCAGAGTACTGTGAGCAGAGCCATCCCTGGGCATTGGACTCCATAAAAAAGCCCAGAGGACTAGACAGAAAGAGCCTCAGAGCAGGTCAGAGAGAGCAAGCCAGTAAAGCCGTCCTTTCATGATTTCTACTCCAGGTTCCTGCCTCAAGTTCCTGTCTTGGCTTCCCTCTTGATGGACTGTAAACTGCAAAATGAAATAAACCATGTCCTCTTCATGTTTCCTTTGGTCATGTTGCTTAACACAGAAATAGAGACCAAACTAGGATACCCATCCCAAAGCAAGGAAAGGTGATCAGTTATATCTCAGAAGTAAAGCTGATGAACTAGACCTTGGAAGTGAACCTGTCTGAGCTCACCAACAGTGATGGCAGAATTGGAGGATTATCAGGATTACAGTCTCTTACATCTGTTTCTCTCAAGACTTCAGCTTTACGTTCTCCAACTGCATACAGCATGTATAGAGAGTTCATTCCTCACAGCTCTAGGACTGACGAAGGGGGTGATGGGAACTTGGAGGACTGGTACCAAAGCTTCCATCCTTCCACAAGGCTACACCCTGGTCAGAGCCTTTGTGTGGGTGTTACGAATTTCTGCCTTGGCATTGAGTTTGTCTATATGACTCATGCCGATGACGCATGTAGAAGTCATAATAAGCCATGGCAGACCTTGCAAGTTTTCACAGGTTCTCATGGAACACACCCTAACCAGTCTGCTGTAGGGTAAGAGGAATAGACAACAGATGCACAGACCTCTAGTTTAGACTACAGGCGTAGACAGCCGGGCTTCTGCGATACAACCAAGCCAACCTACCGTCATCCTATACATGTGTAAGCAGCATTGCTGAGGTCAACTCAGTCCAACCACTGCATATGCAAAACTGACACAAAGATCAATGCAGGATGAATAGGAAGGGACAGCATCGTGGAAATGAAGGTTCCGGGAGGGAATGAGATGCAGCTCCTGGAGTCTTAGGAAATGACGAATCAGTGAAATCTGAACACTCCAGAGGACTAGATAGAAAGAGCCTCAGTAAGTAATTACCCTGATACCCTGAGAAGAAAGTCTGAAGTTAGGAGACAAACAAAAATCATTGCTACATGTTGTTATTTGGCAAGGGGTATTTTATTCATACATGGTCCCCATAGCCTGTTCTTGGTCGCAGAAGGAATTTAAATCAACCTGAAGGTAACTGAGAACTCAGTAGGGACAGTTAGGTTAGAGTTATCACAGAACAAAGACTGAAAATCCTTTAAAATTTACCTCCAAAGAAAATAATGTTACATCTTTATATTTGTGGGCATATGTTAATCCAGCTTTTGATATCTATAGTAGGAAAAGGGAATAAGTGCCAAAAGTCTTCCCTTGTTTGTCCCATTAACAGCAGTTAGGGCAACAACAAAGTGATTCCACTTTCTTTGAATTAGTAAGACCAACGGTCAAGTTCTTGTGTGTGTACGGAAGACTTCAACCTGCAAATAGTGTGCAAAAATATTTTTTAATGCATATTGGATGAGAAAAAATATTATTTGGGAAATGAAGCTCTGTCAGACTTGGCCACTCTACCAGAAAGTTTTTCATTTGCTTTAAATACATGAGATAATCAGTTTGTTAAAAGAAAGAGCTTGGAATTGGGGTCTAGAGAGATACTCCAGTGGTTAAGAGCCCTGGCTGATCTTCCAGAGGACTCAGGTTCAATTCCCAGCATCTGTATAGCTCACACCCATCTGTAATTCCAGTCCCAGGGCATATGATGCCCTCTTCCGGCCTCATGGATCATTGCACATATGTGCTACACAGATGGATATGTGGGCAAAACATCCCTATACATAAAATAATAATTAAAAAGTTTTATTTTGCTTTTAAAAGAAAGAAAAATCTTTGTGCTAAGGAGCTGGGTCAATGGATAAAGATCTTGCTACACAAACAAATAAGTCTGGGTCCTTGGAATCCACATAAAAGGTGAATGGAGTAGCGTGTGCACCTTTATCCCAAGTGCACCTGAGGGAAGATGGGAAGTGGAGACAGGAGGCTATCCTGTGCACCACGGAAGAGCCTGTCGCAAACAAGGCAGAAACAGGCACTGATGCTGTAGACTGTCCTCTGACCCCCTTAAAGCCACAAACGCATGCATGTATATTTTTATAAATGGGCACCTTTTAAAGGCTCCAGTATCTCCCAGTCTTTCACTGGGACTGCAGCCAAACTCCAGTGGCTCTTAGGGTTTTAAAATTCAAACCATAACAACACGCAACTCATACTTGGGGCTCCCTTGACATTTCAGCTGAACGTAACTTTTTGAGAATCATACGTTCACCTAGCCCCGGACATTTCATGAGAATGGTTTCTGGACTTTCAGCATTGTTCCCTGACAATGGTGAAATTAGCTATCCAGGCCGCCTAGAATGTGGCATACAGACAGAGCAAACCCCACGCTTTGCATCTGCATACTCTAAATTGATCCACCTAAGTGCCAATCAAACTTAAAGGGAAGATCTTACTTCATCTTAGAACGGGGCACAAGATCGTCTTGAGGAGAGGCTGCTTTTCACGATAATCACTTTCACTTACCTTGTGTGGAAAAACAGAGACAACATACGGAAACCAACTTTTATTAATAGTTATATAAGAAGAGCAGCCGGTGCTGAGGAGGACAGTTGTGCATATGCTCCCTGCAGATAAATCACCAGTCGCACAGTGAAACTACCTAAGTGTGGCCAGGCTTTAATTTAATAAATCCACCGAGACATGACTACCCTGACCTTGTTTCTAAAG